AGCAGGAATCCTTGTGGCTAACCAGAGATGATTTCAGAAGCTTAAACTGATAGCCCCTGGTGTCCAGCATATGAATATCCAGAATTCCAAAGCCTTTAGTTTTGTTGTCAAAATGCCAATACCCATTTGAGTGTATGCATCTCACAGGTCAAATAACCCAACACAGTAATGTGATGTTTGCATACACCGATGGATACTGTGTGTGACTGCCTCAATGTTTGAGGTTGTGAATGGTCTCTTTGGTCTTGTCTCTCTCACCTTGGTAAGCAGACAATCTTTTTCTTGCAAGCTTTTCACAAATCATTTTATTGCTATATTTTCCATGAGCTTTACCCATACATTTCACACTGATATTAGTCTATAGTCCTTCAGTATGTCATTATATTTAAAGGGTTTGGGCAACAATGCCATGGAGCAGCCTCTGATGACCTTTTCTATTTTCCTCTTCATCATTGACAAATATCAGCTAGCTCTTCTTATTCTTGTATTTCTTATTCACTTTCTATTATAGCTATTGTGGTGAATTTTTTAATTACAGTGGAAGTGGCTATCTTGATAATTCTCAAATAAGTGACATACCTAAGAGAACAACTGTATCCCTCTTGTACATAAATGTATACTTAACTGTCAGTTGTAGTGAAACAAAACTTTGAAAATACAGAAAAACAATACATGTAAAAATTAATTGTTATGAAGCAATGTGTACAGATTCAATAAAACAAATGCTGAACTAATAATCACTCAATTCAAAGGTGTGTTGCAACTGTTCAACAACAAAATCTAGTAAAAAAAATTACTGAATTCACTGACTCCTAGTTGTGTTGTGGCCATGTGTGTTTTAAGATGAATAAAAAAAACAGCTTAAAAATTGTAAAAAAATATTTGGATTGATCTTTGAGTTAGAAAGACTCATAGATAATTTACATTCAGTAATGTAAAAAAGTGAGTAAATTATTAAAACTTCCAGATTCATTTAGAACTCTTTGATTACATCTATGATACACAAAATTTCCCATTTTCTTATCTATTCATAATTAGTAGCAAATCAATTCTTTTGAAATTATTCATAACACCAATTTCTGAAAGTCTGTATCTCAGAGTTTTTCTGATTTACCGATGATCAAAACAATGCCCTGAATGAATCAGAACTTAAGTCTGTCTTTATGTAATACCTAACAGTTAAACATAAATTAAATGCAATGTCTAAACATTTAGGAACTGTCCTCATAAGGTTTTGAAATAACAAAATACTTGTTTTTTGGGTATCAATTTGAAGTCTATGGTTTTTAAGTTACAAAATTGAGCCCATATTTTACTTCCATTAAAGTTAAAAAAGAATTTGAATAGTTATTAGACAACAGAATTAACGAAAAAATAATGACAGTTGTACTTTTCTCAAAGACTTCATTTATTCACAACCAAGGTTTCACCAGTAAAGGCATCATCAAAAAACTTAAATTTATCTGCTGGAACTCTTAAATGAGACATCTATTTAGCTTGTTAATTTAATAAGAATGTATCTATCAACCTATATGTTGAAAATGTAAAATAGATTAACCTCACTGATGATCATTATTTATTTTAAACTTACATCTATGTCACTGACTTCATTTAGCCTCTTTGCTAATGTCTGACCAATTAGCTGCCAATGAGATGTAAGCTCCCAGGGTCCTTCTCTGAATAGAAATAAATAGGATGATTGTCAGTTATGGTAATATTATTGTCAAAATGTTTGCATTGATTTATAGTGTTTAACAGATAAAAACTGTACCTGAATGCATTTTCTATTTTGAAGATATAACAATTTAATGACAAAATTTTGAGAACGTTTGCACTGTAAGTTGCTTTAATTAAAATATTTAATATTTTTACTTACATTTCTAATAAGAAACTTAAACATGTGCTTTTATTTTTACTTTTTTTAATAACGTCAAAACATTATTCTACACTTCTAATGCGATTTCATCAATAACAGAAAAAAGAAGGCAAAAATCATCCTATAATTCTACATCAGGGTTGGCAAACTTTTTTAGCAGTTGTGCCATATTAGGTTCTGAATTTTTGATTAAGATGGCACTAACTCAAAAAGCACTTCAAACCAAGGTCCGTAGAAATGGGTAGAGGGGGTTCAAGTAGTCAAATTATAGGGTATTAACTTTACATACTCTTGTCATTGCCACTAAAGTTGGTATTGAAGCTTAGAGTGTAAGAAATGTTTACCAGAAACAATACTACACTTTAAAAAACAAAAAAATAATAATTTAACTTATATTAATTACAAATTACAAGCAAAATTAATATGGAAATAATAAGTTTAAGGACCAATTTACATGGTCATCTACCTTAACCTCTTTACCTTATGACTTTTTCTCTATTTCCAGTTACCATTTTGTAGCCTTTATCTGTTTATAGCGAGTCATTATTCTGGATCAAAAAGTCAAGTTAAGTTGGGGAAATTATTAACCTTTCAAAATTTATTGGGAGATGAGTCTGAAATGTGTACTTTATCCCTCCACATCATAACACCCACAAAAATGAGGTGGAAAAAGTTTCACAAAAGCATTTTTTTTTTTATCTGAAAAGCATTAAATAAAATGAAAAAACCTTTGACCTTTGTACATTAGATTAATGTCTTCTTTCAACTCTGAATATCAGGATATATATATAAAAGGATTATTAATCATTCATGTTCTAATATTACTTATTAGTTACTTACTCACTCCCAAGGCGAAGCATTATTTCAGAAAAATCAGTCAATATTCTAGGTTTTATATCTGGCCAAGTAATAATATCTGAAATGAGTTTTACTAGGTCCAGGTCCACAAGATTCCTAAAGAAAACAAAATAATTAGTATATTAGAAATGACAATTTTTTTAGTCATTAGTTCTATTGAGAAAAATATATTTTAAGACAAAATGGTAACCACTATAAACCTTTAACATATTCATTAGAAAAAAAAAATCAGTGCTTTAGTCTCACTTTTCATTATGTTGTATGATTTATTATTAATAAGTAATTAACGATTACAAAATTGCCTAATGTTAAGCTCAATAAACTATCAATTAAATTAACAACAATTAATCATACTTCATTTAAACACGTTAATATAACAACTTGCTAATATTTCTTATAATCATCTTTGTAGCTCACAATTGCATATTTTTCTTGCCTTTCACGATAAATTTTGCAATTTACATAGTCAATATATCAAAGCCCATTCCCTTGCCTACGGTATGGACAGTGGGAATCTCATTAATCCATTCATTTGCATCACTAATTAGATGACGAGGCATTTGGCTACCTTAGGAGAGTCATAGTTAAATGATGATTTAAATACTAAAACATTCTTGACCGTTAAAACTTGTGTAGTTGAGAATGATTGCTACATCAGTGATTGAAATGTTGTACCTGTTCTAAAAAATAACTGTCCTTACTGTAAAAGCTGTAACTTGTAATAAAATACTCTGTAACAATGATAAAACAAGTATTGTTTACTGTTTCTATTTACATGTGGATCAACACCAATGGATATTTTGGGCTTTTAGGAAAATAAACTCTGAATATTCTTAGCACAGAATGACTTTCCACAATTAGATGCTGACTTGAAATACATTTCAAACAAAGGAAAATGAAATTTGGACATAATAATTAATGTTTCGTATTTAGGCTTATTGTTTTTGTTGGGTTATCACAATTTTAGTGATTACATGGTGTATGTGTATTAGCTATCATGCAGCATACAATTCCAGAACACCAAAAGTTCAGTTAACAATTTTATTTTTGTGTAACTGCACCATCAATTACTGCCAAAGTACTTACAGTGATGAAACACAAATAAAACATGATTTAGTATGTTTAATTTCATTACAAATTTCACATGAATCTTAAAACATTTAACAATATTGCCAAAGTACTTACAGTGATAAAACACAAATAAAGCACGATTTAGAATGTTTAATTTCATTACAAATTTCACATGAATCTTAAAACATTTAACAATATTGCCAAAGTGCTTACAATGATGAAACACAAATAAAGCATGATTTAGAATGTTTAATTTCATTCATAAATTAAAACAATAACAGTACAAATTTCACACGAATCTTAAAACATTTAACAATATATGTCTTACCTTATTGAAACATCCTTCCATTTAGTATACGAACTCAAGGCAAAGATACAGGACTCAACCACACTTGTATGTGTAGACTAACAATGGCAGAAATCATATGAATAAATAGTTGAAAGTATATAAAATAAACAGTACAAACATTAAAAAAATATTTTGTGTGTGCAAGTGTAGATATTATATGTTATTAAACATGTTTACTACAAGCTGCAACACATACAAACCAGACTGAAACTTGTCTATCTTAACTTATCTTAGAAACATGAATAACATTTTGTGTGTGTGCAAGTGTAGATATTATATGTTATTAAACATGTTTACTACAAGCTGCAACACATACAAACCAGACTGAAACTTGTCTATCTTAACTTATCTTAGAAACATGAATAACATTTTGTGTGTGCAAGTGTAGATATTATATGTTATTAAACATGTTTACTACAAGCTGCAACACAAACAAACCAGTCTGGAACTTGTCTATCTTAACTTATTTTAGAAACATGAATTACATTTTGTGTGTGTGCAAGTGTAGATATTATATGTTATTAAACATGTTTACTACAAGCTGCAACACAAACAAACCAGTCTGGAACTTGTCTATCTTAACTTATTTTAGAAACATGAATTACATTTTCTTACACTTACAGCAGCAGCCTTCCAATTACACTGCTTCGATACATCAATTTATCCAAAAACTTTCATATGATATATAGCATAGCTTATTAAAGCAGAATTCACCAATGACAAAAAATATGAATTACCTGGTGTTAAAGAACCAACTCTGGGTTTCACAAACAAAGAAACAATACATTATCAACAGATATTGTAACAGCAGTTTCTATTTACCAAATTAATATTTTTCCAAGAACAGGAATAAATTGAAAAGGTGGTAGAAATGTTAAAAGATGGAAAAGAAACTGAATTGTTTTTTTTCAGATCTATAATTTCTCAACAGAAATTTGCTTAATTAGTTATATTCAATTTCAAGGTGAAATGTTTTCTGTAAAACAGCAAAAATTCTGTGAAATGTTGATACTAAAATAAAGCATGAATCGGAGACATTTAAAAAATTATGAGAAATTACGTTACACTGACTGGCTTTATAAAACATATCTATTTGAAATGATGTCCAAAACTTCTCGACGTTATGCTAATGCACTTATATCTATTTTAAAACTATCATTAAGACTCAGAAGTTAATCCTATATCTTCTAACTAAAACCACCTTGTAATGTCAACAAGCTGATAAAATCACTGTTTGTGAAAAAATAATATTTTACTTTTGTTTGGTTTTGGAATTTTGCCCAAAGTTACTTGAGGACTATCTGAACTAGTTGTCCCAAATTTTTGAAGTCATAGACTAGAGGGAAGGCAGCTAGTTAACACCATCCACCACCAACTCTTGGGCTACTCTTTTACCAACAAAAAGTGGAATTTACCATCATATTATAACCCCCCCCCCCCATGTCTGAAAGGGTGAGCACGTTTGGTAAGGAGGTTCAAACCCATGACCCCACAGATTGCAAGTCGACTGCCCTAACCACCAGGATATGCCAGGCCTTATTTTAAGTTTCTTATAAAATACTCTTAAGTAACCTTTACACATAAACAATGGTATGACTAGAAAATGAAAGTTCTGTAAGTACTTTACAGGTTACCTTCCTCAAATACATTTCGACATTTGTTGAACTGTACCGTTAGTAAGCTGACAAGTGCAGCTTCAAGGCCTTGATTTTTCAAGTACTTTCTACATTGCTGGCAATCAGCTGCCATATTCCCAAGAGCCCAGGCTGCTTGATCCTGTAATGTAAACAATATTAAAAAAATAAATTAAGGTTTACCTGTATACACTTAGGACTTCTTAACATTCAGCATCACAATTAAACATTACAGAATTTTACTTTACGGTAGTTTTCAAATGAAATCCAAAACTCAAGTGCTTTCGAATGATTCACTATTCTTCTTTTCAACAACAATTTTATGTTATTGTAAACACATACACCTAAAATAGACATTACTCTTTAAAAAAGGATACAATTTATGTAAGGTGTATTTCTCTTTCCATTAACTTTACATGTCGATGATATAAAGTATTTACTAGACACACAGTTGAATAGAAAAATCTTCCACGTTTCTCATTCAGGTGATTTCCAACATCTTACGTGCCAGAAACTAAACCTATGTTGAACAATAAGTTAGAACTTCACAGATCATGTGATAAATATTAAATGAACAGACTGTACCTACCTGAAGCAAGGGATTGCTCCCATGCAAGAATGTAATAAGATATGCTGCTGTTGCCTTTAACACCATAAATGTTGACTTGTGACTTCCGGTGACAAGATTAGTGACACAACCTGCCGTTTCCAACTGTAGTTGAGTATCATTCCCCGATAAGTGTTTGGTCAATATTTGAAGGCAACCATCAACCCTGTATTAGGTAAAGAGATCATATATTATAAACTTTATCTTGCATGTTTTTTTACTTTCTCAGTATGATTATTTTACATTTCAAAGCAGTGGATCCCAACTGATATTTTACAGAAACAGCCAGAGAATGAAGAATTATTTATGGATAAATATTAATACTATTAAAATTCTATGCCCTCTTAAACTTGATTTTTACAACACCCTGTATAACTACCTACATTCTGTACTATATATCTACCAATTACATACTGTGGTAATGGTCTACATACTCTTAACAGTTCATAATCTTTTGACAAACATTTTGCCAGTTTTAACGAGTAATCATTATGTTTTGTGTTTATTTCAACAAACTGTCTATAATAGTGATACAGATTTTTTCTTTCAACAAAGGGTGCTATTTTTTCAAGTTTAGGCAATTATTGATATAAAGTTTCTATTATAAGAACCAAAGTCTAAATACATTTATTTGCAAACATTTAACAGTGCGTGTAACGTATAAAATGATACTGATAATAAAACATAAATTTGCAAGCACTGTATGAAAGAAACATTTACAAATGTAATAAGTATCAAGGATTAGTAATTAATTGCAACTGATTAATCAATTATCACAGTGTTCCTCCAACCATGGTATGTAAAAGCAAGCAAAAAATAAAGGCTGGTGGTGGGTGTTGCCAGAGTTCTTCTTTCTTGTCAGCAGTTTAACAAGGAAGAAAAATGTGGGGAGTAGGTGCCGATATTTGTTCTTTCCTTCAAGTCAACAGTTCAACAAATATTAAATAATAAAAAATGAAAAGTTGTGGTTGTGGTTAGCCAGTTGTATTCCCCCTAGTCACCAGTTAGATATTAATGATGGTGACAGAGTTTTAATAGTTTTGTCATAATAAAGAGGCTAGTTTGATGGCAAAACTTTGGTTGCTTGAATAACTGGAATAATCAAAAATAGAAATAATTGATATCCTACTTAAAAATTATAACTTTGATTACTCAATTGTTGGAATAATTGAAAAAAGTAATAATTGGAAACACTTATTTCAATTAACCCTTTCCATATGGGTGAAAGCCCATGTCATTGCATTTGTTGACTTGCACTCAAAATTTTATTGACCTACTATTTGATGAATTTATGTCAGTAAGTTTGGTATTAAACTGTAGATTATAATTCAACTTTTAGTATTATACATTACTCAATTTCTTAGTTTTAAAAGTAAATATTAAAAAACATAGTTAAACATTGATTCTTGTGTGTCACGTTGTATGTTGAATGAAGCACTGGTTCAAATTAGATGTTTGTGATGTCTAAATACTAAGTCTATAGTTTCGTATGAATTAAGATCTCAAATTACTAACATTGACAAGTTAAAATATAAAATAAGAAACTGTTATCTTTTCTATTTGCTGAGATATCACTCACGTACTGAATCCAACACAGTGGCCCCGCCCACCTTTTTCCATTTTTGGAAACGGTTCCTTATATACACATACTTCAATATGTGACATATGAATAACCAATCAAAAGATCAGAATGCTTTGTCAGCCATTTTCATGTGTTAGAATGCCATATTGTTTCTTTGATTGTTTTGAATTTCGCGGAAAGCTACACGAGGGCTATCCGCGCTAGCCGTCCCTAATTTAACAGTGTAAGACTAGAGGGAAGGCAGTCATCACTACCCACCGCCAACTCTTGGGTTACTCTTTTACCAACGGACAGTGGGATTGACCGTCACATTATAATGCCCCCATGGCTGAAAGAGCGAGCATGGTTGGTGTGACGGGGATTCGAACCTGCGACCCGCAGATTGCGAGCCGAGTGTCCTAACCACCTGGCCATGCCGGGCCTCTTTCTTTGAACCAAGATTTCAAGGAGGTAGGTTGTGTCTTTAGTCTGCTCAAAATTTCATATTTTGTAGACCCAAATACAGCTTAGTTACTAAGCTTGATAAATTATAGTTGAATTATATGGTATTGATATAGGAATTTACGGTTTTTGGTTATTCAACTGTATATATAAAAAATCTAAAAAAAAATTTGTTTCATATCCTCCACATGTGAAATTTTAAAAGGCTTAGCAATTGTTTGTTTTACTTCTTTATTTACTGTTCTATGTTTTAAGAAAAATAACGTTAAGAAATCATTTCTAAATAGTAATAATCTATATACATATATAATGTACAATAATTGAAATGTGAAGTATTTTACAAAATACTAGTCCACTAAACCATAGCCAAGACAGGTCACTTTGTAAAGACTAAAGGTCAGTTTTATATTATTGGATATGGTAATATGAGAGCACATGTGCTGCATCATTGTAACTTCTGTACTGTTAGCCAGGCATGGCTGAAAGGTCAATATAAGAAATATATATAAATGTATAATGTTATGAGATTTAAGCTATTTAAGTCTAAACATTTACTTTTTCATGTTATAATTTGTTGTCATTCTAGAACAAAAGAGGTGTAACTTATATTTATTTCCTATTTTTTTTCTGGCGGTTACAAGATTGGTCAAATCTACCGAACCCAAACAGAGATTTGTTAGTGAAAATAACAGAAAAAATATAAAGATTTTTCTTAAGAAATGTTTCATAACTATCTGGACATTAAAAAGATTTTGCATGTAAAATTCGAAAACTTTCTAATGCATAAAAGTATTTTTAATCTTAAAATGAAAACTACTTTGCATGTTGGATAGGCACCATGTGAAAAAAAAAAAAAGGTACAAGAAAAACATTGCTTAATAAACCTTAGGACTTAAAAAAAATTTATATTTTGCATATGAAAGCATTGTAATGTTTACTGATAATCTGCCAAATTTCGTTAACATACGCTTACTAATTCAAAAGTTATATCATAAAAAATATAAGCACAAAATGATTACGAGGTTGGTCCAAGGGACCGAGCCCATGCTGAGAGAGTTAACAGATTTAATTGTAAATTTGATTAATTGATTAGTTTATGTGACACTAATTTATTTAATTGCTGCTCATACACAACATATTAAATTGCCCAGTTCTACAGTCATGTCTCTGTATTATGTACTGATGCATATGGTCTGAACCAGATGTGAAAGGTTACCCTTATAAATGTACCATTCCAGAACAC